TATATAAAGTAAGTTAACCAAATATTGACTTTTGCTAGTACCTGGTGGAAAGGAAGCTAAAATAATGATATATTAAAATCCCTTACAATCACATACTGCATATTGATTTGTCCTCATAGGGAAGATAAACATTGTTTCTTATAAGATTACTTATACATTATTTTCTTAATTCACTTTTTCAGGGCACTGGAATATTTCAGGCAAAATTCAATCTAGACCTAGTCCAGCTAAATGCAAACTTTGGATTTGTGGATCTGAATTAATATTTTATTGTAAAACTGAAAAGCGTTCTTATAGCCACCATTGTAGAGTTACTCCTACATTCTCCAAGATGTTATCAGAGACTTCTTGCTGTGTTTAGGTGTCAAGATATTAATTGCTTTTTACAATGTGCTGTGACTCATGCTTAAAGTAATCACTTTTCTTTAATGACTCAAGCAGGGAAACCAGTGACATTTGTGAATAGTAGATGGGATAAAAGGAGCTGGACACATTCTTTCTTCAACATCTGCCATGATACGATTTCACCAGCAAGAAATGTGCTAAGGCTTCTGCCCAAGTCAACTATAATTCATTTATTGCATTGTTGACGAATGCCTTAATATGACTAGGATAGAAAAAATACGTTGACATGCTTATACAAGAAAACATGAATAGACCAAAGGTGAAGAACAGAAAGCCCAGGAAACCACAAAAACTTTCAGCAGCTTTATGCTAAAGGGAAAATGATCTTTGTAATAAACGGTGCTGATCAATGGATATCCAAACTGGGAAAAAATATATCTTCACCACCTACTTCACACAAGCTACAAGTATCAATTACAGAAGTACAGGTTTAACTATAAAAGATAAAGAAGTTTCTAGAAGAAACATAGAGCATCTTCGTGACCTTGTATAGATCTCAATTCTCAATCATATTGGGAAAAATAATAAATTTCTATATTAAATTAACAACTTTCATTCATTAGCCAGATGCAGTGGCTCAGAGTACCCTCTCAAAGTGCTGAGGTTACAGCACTTTGGGAGGCCAAGGTGGGTGGATTCCTTGAGCTTAGGAATTCAAGACCAGCCTGAGACCTTGTCTCTACAAAAAATACCAAAAAACAAACAAACAAACAAACACAACAACACAAACACACCTGGTGGCACACACCTGTAGTCCTAGCTACTTAGGAGGCTGAGGTGGGAGTATGGCATGAGCCTGGGAGGCAGAAGTTGCAGTGAGCCAAGATCGCACCACTGCACTCCAGCCTGAGTGACCAAGTGAGACCCTGTCTCAAAAAACAAACAAAATAAATAAAAAACTTTCATTCATCGAAAAGACACCAACATCCATAAAGCAAAAACTACAGCTCACAGAATGGAAAGTAATATTTGCAACGTTTTTCTAACAAAGAAAACATTTCCATAATATATAAAGAATTTCTACCAATCAATAAGAAAGAGACACAAACCCAGGAGGAAATGGGGTGAAAACATAAACAAGTACTTCACAAAACAGAACATCCAAACGGCCAATAAGCATACTAAAAGATAGCAAATCTCGTTAGTCATCAGAGAAATACAAATCAAAAACACGGTGAGATAACACTACACACCCAGTGAGTGGAATGGCTAAAATGAAAGACAGACAATGCCAACTGTTGAGTAGAGTGTAAAGAAGCTGGAACCCCCGTAAATGTTTCTATTGCAACTGTATATTGGTAGCACCACGTTTAAAAATTGCCGGCAGTCTACTATAAGCAGCGTGTAGGCATTCACGACCCAGCAGTTTTACTCCTAGGGATATACATTACAGAAATACAGGCATGTGTTCACTAAAAGATGTATACAAGAATATTCATAGCTCAGATCAAAAGCTACCCGAATGTCCATTCAATGGTAGAATGGAAAAATAAACTGTGGTATATTCACAACGAGTTAGTGAGATGAGAATCAGAAAACTGCAACCACACATAACAATGAGAATCTCTCTCAAAACATCATGCTGAAAGACTGCAGACAGACACAAAAGAGTGATACTGCACAGTTACTTTTATATAAAGCTCCAAACAGGCAAAACAAATCTGGGACCTTAGAAGTCAGGTTGGTGGTTTGTCTTCGCAGGGTTTTAACTAGAAGGGACATGAGGGAGGCTTCTGGGATGTTTAAATGTTCTGCGACATTTTTGCTAAGTGCTGATTACGTGTTCAATTTGTGAAATTGTTCAATTTGTGAGAAGTCATCCAGCTGGACACACGATCCTTGCCTAAAACTGAACACTTATAATTTATGCATAAAATAAAATCTCATTGCAAGACGTTTGATATTTTTTCAGTTTATTTTTGATTATATTTGGAGAGGCCAATTTTACATGATAGCTTCAAACCAACCATTGTACATTAACCAAATTTTACACAAGCCATTTGAAAAAAGATCTAAAAATGTGCTTAGTTATTGGTATTATATAACATTTATCAAGCACCAAGAGTGTGCTGAGCTCTGTACAGAACAAACATAGAAAAGACACAGTCCCTGCCTTCAAGAATATCCGTTCCTTCAGGATCTTGTACATAAAATTTCACCTGACATTCCACACTCTTTTATTCATAAGGCATAAATAAGGAAGTTTGTTGCATTTCTCATTGTTACTTAATAAATACCGAATACCCTTTCCCCAATTATACCAATGATTACTCGTATCTTTGCCTTAAATACAAATTTCCATAGTACAATATACAGTATATACTGATTTGGTATTCACACAGTTGACCACAATATTCTTGCAGGTTGGTTATAATATGAAGCATGTTGAATTTCAACATTCACAAATTTTTATACCACTTAACAGAATCATTTACTGTTGGCAGAGCGTCTTCTGTTTTGTTTTTTTCGATTTCAAAAACAAGAACAACAAACGTGATGCCACTGCTCTTATCCTGATAACTTGTAAACGAGAACAGCACTGCCTTGATTCCAGTAAGGGTATCGGAACTATGGCACAATTATTCAGAACAGTGATTTTTAGCACATCTATTAAACTAGCCTTGCAGATACCAATCACATATTTGCATGCCTTAAAATACTAACAATTTATGATCAGCTAATGGATGATGTAAGTATGATTTACTTTACTGTATTCAGTTTAATGAAGGGGATATTGGTTATGAAATGCCTGAAAAATATGAGCAGGGAAATATTTTTTCCTCGTCTGCAAGGCTGTGTTCTGATCAGATTTAGATTAGAATATGAAATGCTTATGAATTTGATCATTGGCTAAGGACGTTTGATTTCAAAATAATCTCTTAAATAATAACATTTTATTATTTTTAAAACACAGGAAAAATGAAGCGATTTTTGATAATGTTGTAATTTTGGACTCAGATGCAAAAATTATCCTTTATGTAAAAATGCGAGGGTATGGTGGAAGATGGTACCCAATACAGCAGACAGGCCAGTCCATATGTCACCTGTGGGGAGCTCACTGCAACAGGAGGGGACAGGCAAAGATTAGAGGGATGGACAGACATTTCCCTCCTAGCCCGGGTCTGTCTTGCTCATTCTGCAAACTGAGGGAATAGAAGAGATAGGGTGAGTCTGGGGTCAGGGAAAGAAGGCTGGGGTGAGCTTGGGGTCAACGGCAAGAAAGGCTCCAGCTGTGAACCTCACCTTCTATAGCTCTCAAGATCCCAAGCATCCAAGAGCTCCAAGCCATGGTAATGATTCACAACCTCAACATCAGACCTGGTATTATCAGGCTGAGGATGACCCCGGACCAGAGAAAACCACCTTACCTTTGGCCTCTATTGTCTGATTTCCTGGATCATTACCAAGTCTGGATGTTTTTGTGATGTGACAACAACGTTGAGTTGAATGTTAAAGCTACTCAAAGCTACTCTGGGCTTAGAGCAAGACTGAATTCCTCTGAGTACCTCTCCAGCTATGGAAAGCATAGAAGAAAATTCGACAGAATCCTTTATGCCCTCCCAAGGTAGCTAGGCACATACCCACCCGGGGTCCATTAGGAACAGATTCACCCAAGGGCAGTGGCAAAACGGGTTTGGTCCAGCACCTAAGATCCCACCTGTCAAATGGAAGAGTTGGGGTGGATTTGATTAGATTTTTCTTATGTTGGGTAAGTACATCTCCACGCTTCTGCAAATTCAGAGCAAGAGGTTGGGAGCTACTGATCTCTGACACTCTGGCACTTAACCTGTGATAAAGAGGAGAATAGGGAGACTAGAATGCAGTGTAGAGTCTTACTGGTTGAGGGATGCGGTGGAAAGGCAACGCCCAGAGTGGTAACCTAGTAGTCTCTTTGGGGTGAAAGAAACAACCTTATGTAATATGCCCAATTGAAAACAGAGCACCAAAGACTATAATTCAGATGACAATAACACACACATATATATATATATCATTTTCAATTATAAATCCTCAGTTTTTCATACTAAGGCTTAAGTTTCCAGTCACTGAAATTGGAAATCCATACATAAGCGTGATAATACAAATGGACAGCATGAAGACCTTTAAAAACAAAGCTTCACTACAGATGAAAACATTCATCTCTCACTTGTTAACATCATAAAATTAACTGACTACTCCTTAAGGGTGAACAACAGGATTAGACACAGCAAGCTAAGCATTATTTGGGATTTTTTTGGAATGGATGCTGGACTCCTATTGCTTTAAAAATTGAAATGCTCTCACACCTCTCTTTTAGAAATTCATTATATCATCCAGAGTGATTCCACTTGCTACCAAAATCTATTTATATCCCACCTTGTTATCAAAAAAAGACAAGGTAGCTAGTTTCTGTCAATCCTTTTTTCTTTAACCTGTGACAAGACATTAGAATCAGATGTTGATATGGATTCTTTCTGTTCCATTATTGTCAAAGCACCATTCAGCAGGTGGAGACAGTTCAAATTCGGGTGAAATTACAACAGCTTCTTTTACACTAAAGAAACCTTGCTCCCAAGTTATTTAACAGAGAAGACAATAAATGAAATTCAGGTATTTAGATAGACATATAGATAAGTGGTTAAATAGATAATATTTTTTTGCACTGCTGATAAGGTATTCAAAACTCTGGAGTAGGTGTTGTGGTCACTGAGAAAACCCCAGTGCCTTTATTGTTATTATATTATTGAACAAGCTTTCAAAATCATTTTAAAGCCACTGAAAATGGCTGACATTGGCGGTGCATGAAAACCGTGGTTTACGGATAGAATGTCAAGGTTTAGCCATTGTCTCTGCTCTTCAAGGCACAAGGAGAGGTTCCAAACTCTTCAACTCATGAATGAGAGGCAGAGCCTCTGATATACCAGGAGATAGAAAATTACGGAATACAGCCATACACCAAAAGCAGGAACAGGAGATCTTTGGAGTGGCCGTGATTTTCAAAGACTTGACCTTACGTCATTGGCAAGCAACTCCCCTACACTTTGGACTGAGGACGGGAAGGTCTCCTGGCCTGAATACCTTGGCCATCATGCAGTCTGAACACTTCATTCCACGCCTGAGTGGGTAGTCCAGCTCCTTCTTACCCCAGGCACAAGGAAGAAGGTCCAGAATGTTTCCATGAAAGTCTGCAGTGATGCAGACATTCTGTCATGTTGATGGCAAAAGGGCATCAATGAAAGTCAGTAGCCCTTGATGAAAGTCGGCAGAGACGGAATACCCGTTAGGGACATGCACCCTGTTACTTCACCAGCAATGGTCTAAGAGCATTATGGAAAAGAGAACTCACCCTCTTTCCGTCTTATGTTGATATTTCCCTTAGTTTCTTCTAAAGAGGCATGTATTAAACATCTTCTGCATAACTTATTCCTCACCATTAAACATTATCAAAACGGAAAGAACCCAATTAATCTTTCTCTCTTTTTTTTTTTTTTTTGGCTTGGGATAGTCAATTTGTATTTACTGCTAGTCCATTACATTCTTTTGGTAGGAAAAGATATTGCACTTCTAAAAATGCATCGAGTGTCATTAAGTCAAAGCTAATATGTGGGTAGATTTCTCACTAGAATGTGCATTTTCTAAAAACCGCCTTCATTCAACATTTGCAAAAAAGCTTCCATGATTTCATCTCGATCTCAACAGACTGTTGCCTCACTGCTGCAAGATTCTAAAACACAGACAAGACGTCAGTAGTCGCACGCCGCACGCAGGTTGCATTCTCAGCTCATGATTTCATTGTGCAGATGGGCACGACAATCACCAGAATGACCGTGCACGCCGCGGCAGCGATCAGAGCAGCTATCTTGCAGACCTTGGCTCGTCTGAATTCGGCTTCTTTACGTTTTAGTAATGAATCGTAGCCTGGAGTATAAATGTCTTCCATCCAGTACTCTAAGTTGTTTGGGTTTAAAGATTCTTGTGTCTAAAAGCGAAGAGAAGACGTTAGAAATATGGTGAATATCTGAAATCAGGTCAAAGACGTCCCGACAGGCATCACTCCTGAAGCATTTACGTTGTCTGTGGCGGGGAGTTAGAGACCGTGTGGTACAGCCCTGTCCCACCAGCCCCGGGCCGGAGGCAGGCTACCACGGGCTCATCCCACATATCAGATTGCATGGACCCCTCCCTCATGCTGGTTTTGACACAGAGAAACATAAGGGTCTTTATCTGCAAGCAAGCAAAATGGGGCTGAGACGAGCAAGACTCTGAACTTCAAGGGCATGCAACCAAGAACAGACTGGCCCCACTGCCAGGAAAACGAGGAAAGTCACTGTAAAATGCTTTCTTCCAACAGGCTCGAAGAACAGATCTGCTTGAAACAGGGCCATGATAGTACTCTGAGTCAGTTCTTCTTTCTCAGATAAAGCTTCTACTGAAAAAATCAAAGGCACCTCTAAGATGAGCAGTTCAAACAAAACACAAAAGATTTCAACCTCAACCATCTGTCTGAGCAGGTCATGATGCTGGTCAAAGTCAAGGTCTACTGACCCCATCGTTCCCACCCCAGACCTGCCTTGGCAGTGATTCCAGACTTCGGGCAGCTTCCCTTAAGAAAGAGCCCCAACTGACATTTGGTTTCTGATCTCTCCAAGATTAATCAACTGTCATCAGGAGAAATACCGTATTTAACCTGTACTGCCCGTGAATCCACGTGGACAGCTATAATCTATTTCCGTGAAGAAAGGCTGTGTTCTCATTTTAAGGCAAGCATTTAATAATACGAGGGTCTCATAAAAGCAACAACACGTTGCGATTCCAAGTGAGGTCATTTAAATCTTTGAAATGCAAACAAAATATCCATTTTGAAGATTTTCTTAAATTGTTTAATGCTCATAAACACAGCCACGTTAAAAAATATTCATACACATATACAAATACAGGCTCAGAAAAGAAACCCTTCAAAGTTTTAAAAAACTGGGTTGTACCATTTATTGGTAGAACAGTGATGATTCTAATGCATGCTGGTAATTCTCTGCCTGACCTTCTAGATTTCATTCTCTGCTTTTTAAAAATCTTGCCCTGTTCCCCTAAAAATATAATCTACATGGATACATCATGGGGAGGCTCCCCTGCCTTCAAGCTCCTCTAGGGGTTCAGCCAGTGAAGACAAAGAGAAAGGGAGGTTGGGGTATTGATTCTCCCAACTCCCTCCCAGTGGGGCTGTCATTTGGGGGGGGGGGGCCCAGCTCCTATCAGACACCTGATCTCAGACCTGTGGGTCTCAGTGGGTTTCGGAAACAGCCCCTTACCCTTGGCCCTTCAGATTCAAGGGTGGCAATAGCTTCCTGCCAGTGCCAGTCTCTGGGAGCTTCACCAGCTATTGTAAAGAGTCCCCCTCTCAGGTATCCCTTGGAGTATGCCACATGCCTGCTGCCAGTACACTAACGACTCACAGACCCTGCACCCCTCAGGCTTTGGTATCTGCCTGTTACGATCAGCTAGCACAGGGCTACGCATACTGCGACCTGCGGGCTGTATCTGACCTGCCACCCACCTTGGTACAGCCCTTGAACTAAAAGTGATTTTTTTCATTTTTCAATGATTGAAAGGAAATCAAAAGAATAAGATTTTATGACATGTGAACATTATATGAAATGCAAATCAAGATTTATGGGAACAGAACCACGCCCATTTGTTTCCAAACTGTCTATAGCTGCCTGCGCACTACAGTGGCAGAGTTGAGCAGTTGTGAGATATTTCAAGGCCCGCGAGGCCTAAGGGATTTACTGTCTGGTCCTTTAGCGAGAAAGGGCATCAGCCCCTGTTCTAGGACATGCTATGCGACACTGCACAATGGAAAGACGAGGGGGTCTGAGCACCACCGAAAATCTTCCGGTCCCTTCCCTCACCAGCTTCATGTTTACAGACTGCTGTTGAATTTTTCAAGTTTTATGGAAGGGTGGAAGGTGGTCTTGGACACTCAGGGCACCCAAAATAGAAACCAGGACATTCTGAATGTGGGCAAAGTCCTTACGGTGCAGGGTTCTCTGTCCAACCCTTCAGCCTTTGTGAGAAACACCTGCTACAGCATCCTCTGTTAGAGCCCCGGGAGCCTCTGCCCTCAGCTTCCCCAAGCAGGTTTGCTGCTGCCCGGTCTTGACTGCTAGACGGCCTCCTCCTGGAGGCCACCAAAGCTCTACCTGCCACAGGCCATTGGGACCAATCTGCTGTCCTTGGCATGAAAACCCTTCAGCAGTTTCAGAGGCACTCGAGAAAGGAGAGATGGACCCAAGATGGGCATGTTTTGCTGGAGGACTGGTCTGCAGAAGGGGGCAATGTGCCTCTAAAGCCTGGGTGCTGGTGGAGGCTCAGACTTGCCCTGGCACCCGGAAGTCAGGCTCAGCACACTCTGGGTCAAACAACCAGCTCTTCTTCTCCGCTATCCCAGGGCCGGCCCAGAAGGCAATCGGTGTGTAAGTGACACATCGGATTTCGTGCTTTATTCCCTCCGTCTCAGACAGAAGGAAATTGGCTTCCTTTTCATAGCTATCTCTGCTTTATTATGGGCTGGGATTCAGTGTGTGAAATAAACTATTTTTAATTAGGTTTTGCGATAACTGTAAGCTGTGATGGCACCAAGCAGAAGAGAAGTAATACTGAGGTTTCAAGGGGCGCAGGGAGTGTATGCAGTTACTAATTAGTCCTGGTAAATGTTGGAAAGAAGAACAAGCCTGCACCTTTGCCTACGCCCTCAAGCAGACACCACTGAAGGCGGATGTATATCTTGGCACAATGGGACTCTGAGGAGATCGTCCAGAAGCCAACCCTGCCCTAAGACTGCGCCTGAGTCTCTGCAAAGAGACAGCAACCTTGCAAGCTGTCAAGGTTGGCTCGGTTTCGCTATAAACACCCTCACACGGCGATTGAACTCTCTACTTCCTCATATTTTATGCAACTGGATTCTCTCTCCTTTGCATTTTTAAGTAATGTCACCTCAAGCTCTGTAACCCAAGTGTCTATTTTTAATTTTTATAATTTTATCTTTATGCTCATAAAAATATTGGTACAGTGAAAGCTCACATATCTGTAGGGGCAAAATCTTCCCACTCCGTCCCTGCAAACTTCACAGAGATGTTTCCCAGTCTGTGACTCAATGAATTAATGACTCTTTCAAGGTCATCCAGTGATACTGGTGAGATATTGATTATTCCGTCAGTTGAGCCATTCACACCTCCAGGTCTTTTCTGACCCACCAGCTGCTCATGGTATTCCAGTTCCCACAGATGGAGTGGTAACACCCACGGCAGAGCTGCACGGGACCCACCTGAGGGAGAATCAAATCCTGTCCAGCCTCTTTGCCAGCAGGAAGTCGACAGAAGAGGGATTGGCCTGAAGGGTCACGGGGTATGCAGTGCAAGTAGGTATGTAAAATGCATGAGGTGAGAGGGCTGAGGAGGGGCTCAGGGCTGCTCCTGATGCCCCCACAAACCTCACTGTCAGGGTCTGGCCAGAGCGGCCCCTCCCCATAACTGCTGTCATTTAGGGCCCAAGATAAACACATGTCATTGCAATTATTTTTTTTTGTAACATAAAACTCCGCTAAACTCTTAATAGAAAAGTGAAATAGCAAGGAAGTTGCACAAGAGAAAGCATGAGACCCATTGCCAGACGGTCCAGTATGAATTTCGACTCGTCTGTCCTGGGGCAAATTATCGACCTTCCAGGGCCTCAGTTTCCTCATTTGTAAACTGAAGATGGTCGTAGCAATTCCTGCCTCACAGGCCACTGTGCCTGGAACTGAGAGACTGCTTTTTAAAAGCGCCATGCAAAGTTGATTGATTTCATCATCATCGACCAGCCCTCCCAAGGGTCTTCTTTTTCAGTGCCTACCTGATGCCAGGTACTTCAAATATATTATTTTCAATTCTTACAATGATGCACAGCTTGATATTATTAGGTCCATTTAACAGGTGGAGGGACTGAACCTCAATCAGATGCAGAGAATGCCTGAGGTCACACAGCGAAGGAGCCCTGGATGAAAACGCATGCTGCCAGATGCAGGCTTTTCTCTCCACCGCAGGGCACCTCCCACGGCCCTCTGTTTTAGAGCAAGGCCATTTCAGGGAAGCCTTGCCATACTGATCTCCGCAGGCAGCTCTCACCAACTGTGCTTCAAGTGCATGGGCATTCTGGGGCCTGCACGGAACTGGCACCCCTGTGCTGTGGCCTCGCTGCCCACAAAGCTAAGGGCACAGGTGGGAACGGGGTGCTTCCTTTGCTCCCGCGGTGATCTGGAGACACAGATCGACACAGTATGAATGGAACCAGGCAGAGCTGCCCACCAAAATGAAAGTGTGGCCCAAACCCAGCCCTGCCTGTAGTGAACAAGAAACATGCCCTCCAGCCACAACTGCGTTCACAGAGCTTCCGGGGATGGCTCTTACCTGGGGTGGCTCCGTATGGAAACATAATCCATAGCTGGGCTCCCACAAATATGCTTATCCCACGTGCTACATATGGAAGGAGAAATCAGCTTGTATTTCATTAAACAGTTTGGCTCAGGTCTTATGAGCAAATATTAGAATCTGCGCTTGGTACAGAGTCGTAAATGCATCGTTAGCAAATCAGACGGTCGATAAAAAAAAGACATAAATCAAGCATTCCTACTGCTAAATGTTTACGGTAAGCAAAACAACAATCCCCTTGTTAAAAGCCTCTTCTGCTCTATGATTTATTAAAGTTCTGAATTCTATGCTGGAAGCCCAGGGAGTCGAAGGGTGTGGGGGTGGGCTGGGTAGTCTAAACCTTCCACGTTCATTCCTGCGTTTGCCAGGGCACAGGTGGGCTTCCCCCCACCCAGGGACAGTGAGAGGCTCACCTGCAGGTCCAGGGCTGTCAGCTTGCCCTTGTCGCCCGTGTTCCGTGCATAGTCCTCAATGGTCCAGGAAGGTTGGCCTCGCTTCACCTCGGCCAGCTCGGTCAGCCGCATGTCAGTGTACAGGGGGTTGCTCTTCATGTGGGCTTTGAGGGACGCAGGGTAGGGGTGCGGGCTGAACACCTGCTCCACCAGGAAGCCATCTTTGGGCTGCTTGGGCAGTCGGTGCTGTGGGGGGATGTCGTACTGCCTGTCTGCCTGCAGAGGGGCACAAAGAAGTCCAGACACATGGCAACAGATGCCCTTGGATTTCACAGGGCAACTGAGCAATCAGCAGCTTTCAGTCACAGGCCCTGTAGACATCCAGCTAGCAGAGAGCAGTTACTTCCAAGCAAATAGAAAGTATGAAAGCATAGCCACGTTGGGGGAAACCCTAAGAAAAGCTTATGATCATAATGTCACTAATATAAATTAACATGTCTGTGCCAGGAAGGGTTATTTAATGTAATCTTTACGCCATCACTACCATTATGAATCCCCATCGTCCAGGTAGGAAAACAGAGCCCCAACTCAATAACCTGCCCCAGGGCATGCGGCTAGCAAAGGATGGAGCTGGGATGTAAACTGATCCTCTGGCTTCAGAGAGTCTTTGTTTACCGATATTAATGCCCCCTCTTTCTTTTACCATTTTGCACGGGGTATGGATGAGTAAAAGATACGGGCCCTTTCCTCAAGGGACTTGCTGAAAACCTTGATGCTGCCTCTTTGGAAGGAAGAAGCTGACGCAGAAAGCACGTGTTGGGAGCCGCTAGTGATTTTCCCAGGCAGCAGATGGACCCGTGTCAGAGGGGATGCGGCCTCAGGATAAGAGGGCTGTCTGGGCAGCAGTGTGGACGTAGGAAGGTGGCGAAACAGGTGGCAATAATTTATATTCTCCGTCCTTGAAATGCAAGCCGAGAGTTTCTGCTCTCAGTACACCTGTTGCAAGACTGGGTGAGTTCTCCTTTCTGTGACCTCTGAGGACTGTGTCCAGACCTTTCAGCAAGCACTGTACCTTTGAATTATAACTGCCTGTTTGCCCGTCTGGCTCCTCTGCTGAAGTATGAGATCCTTGAAGGCAAGGGATTGTTTTGTTCACCTTTGATCCCCCGCTCCAGCAAAATAATACCATCGAGTAGAAGACACTCCGTGAATAGTCATCGAAGGGTCAGAGGCCAATGATAGAAGCCATGTATGTGTAACAGAGAGTAAATAAGTTGTGTATCTCAGTAACAGCAAGAGAAAAAGGAAGAAAGAATATTGTCAGTCAATGTGTGTGTACAGAAGGAAGAGGAGAATGTTTAAGTGTGATGAGATTAGAGCTGATGTGCAAGAATGTAGTGGGTATGTGTGTGTGTGAGTGTGTGGCTCATATGTTCATGCAGGGACTAGAAGCACACGTGGTGTGTGTGTGTGTGTGTGTGTGTGTGGCTCATACGCTCACGGGACTAGAAGCACACATGGCATGTGTGTGTGTGTGTGTGTGTGTGTGTGTGTGTGTGGCTCATATGCTCACAGGACTAGAAGCACATGTGGCGTGTGTGTGTGTATATGTGTGTGTGTGTGTGGCTCATATGCTCACAGGACTAGAAGCACATGTGGCGTGTGTGTGTGTGTCTGTGTGGCTCATATGCTCACGTAAGGACTAGAAGCACACGTGGTGTGTGTGTGTGTGTGTGGCTCATATGCTCACGGGACTAGAAGCACACGTGGTGTGTGTGTGTGTGTGTGTGTGGCTCATATGCTCACAGGACTAGAAGCACACGTGGTATGTGTGTGTGTAAGTGCGTGGCTCATATGCTCACGGGACTAGAAGCACACGTGGTGTGTATGTGTGTGCGTGGCTTACGTGGTACATGGTGTGTGTGTGTGTGTGTGTGTGTGTGTGGCTCATATGGTCACGGGACTAGAAGCACACGTGGTATGTGTGTGTGTGTGTGTGTGTCTCATATGCTCATGGGACTAGAAGAACACGTGGGGTGTGTGTGTGTGTGTGTGTGTGGCTCATATGCTCACAGGACTAGAAGCACATGTGGTGTGTGTGTGTGTGTATGTGGCTCATATGCTCATGGGACTAGAAGCACACGTGTTGGGTGTGTGTGTGTGTGGCTCATATGCTCACAGGACTAGAAGCACACGTGTGTGTGTGTGTAAGTGTGTGGCTCATATGCTCACAGGACTAGAAGCACACATGGTGTGTATGTGTGTGTGTGGCTCATACGCTCAAGGGACTAGAAGCACACGTGGTGTGTGTGTGTGTGTGTGTCTGTGTGGCTCATATGCTCACGTAGGGACTAGAAGCACACGTGGTGTGTGTGTGTGTGTGTGTGTGTGTGGCTCATATGCTCACGTGGGTACTAGAAGCACACGTGTGTGTGTGTGTGTGTGTGTGTGGCTCATATGCTCATGTAGGGACTAGAAGCACACGTGGTGTGTGTGTGTATGTGTGTGTGCGTGTGTGGCTCATATGCTCACGTGGGTACTAGAAGCACACGTGTGTGTGTGTGTGTGTGGCTCATATGCTCATGTGGGTACTAGAAGCACACGTGTGTGTGTGTGTGTGTCTCATATGCTCACGGGACTAGCACACGTGGTTTGTATGTGTGTGTGTGGCTCATATGCTCATGGGACTAGAAGCACACGTGGTGTGTGTGTGTATGTGTGTGTGTGGCTCATATGCTCACGTGGGTACTAGAAGCACACGTGTGGGGGGGCTCATATGCTCACGGGACTAGAAGCACATGTGGTGTGTGTGTGTGTGTGTGTGTCTGTGTGGCTCATATGCTCACGTAGGGACTAGAAGCACACGTGGCACATGTGTGTATGTGCGTGTGGATCATACACTTGCATAGGATCTGGAAGCACACGTGGTGTATGTGTGTGAGTGTGTGGATTATACGCTTACATAAGGACTGGAAGCACATCCCCATCTACCAGCAAATCCAACCCACTGGCTCTTACCCAAATAGAGCGTGACATTTGGCTATTCCCAACCATCAAGAGCACTGACTCTGACACAGAGAACACAGGATAAATCCACACCAGGAAATGAGTTTTCCTCTTATTTTCTAAGTCATCAAAGCCAAGTATCTTCTAAGAGACTTCACTGGTGGTGTCTATTCTGCTCATTACCACCACCCAGCTCTCAGAGCGCTCCTATCGCATGCAGGGTCAGCCCCAAACCGGGAGAAGGGCAATGGCAGTAATAATGACTACGGCAGCCACGTCAGGCACGGTTGCAATTAACCAAGGCTGACTGTGTGTCCACCACTCTGCTCAGCGCTAAACATGCCTTGTCTTCATTTCATCTTCTCACTAAAATTCTGAGGTTGTAGCTATGATTATTACTAGCATGGATGTGGAAACTCAGGTCAGAGAGCTTAAGAGACTAACCCAATGTCACACAGCTGGTAAATGGTAGAGCCAGGATTTGAAACTGTTTCCACTTCTAAGATGGAAGGTTTCATGGCTGCCCACGCCTTATTGTGTGTTTTCAATAAAAGCTGGCATCCACAAAGTCTGAATGAACAGGACTAAAGGCTGCAGATCAAAGACCAGCAATAAGCCCTAGGAAAGTTTACAGCGACTTACGACGTAAGGGGCCTCGAGGGGAAGGAGCGCAGGACTTAGATCAGTACAGGGGAGGTGGACCAGGCAGTCTTGGTGGAGGATTCAGGACGAGAAAATCTGACCGTCCTCGGTGCTCCGCGAATGTTTACTGGATGGGTGACCAAATGCATGAGCCTGGCGATTTTGAGGAAAGCCAGGGAGACTCATCGAGGTAGAGCAGAGGCCAGTGAGTCAGGGTATACCAGAGCCTTCTAGTGGAGGAAAAGTACATGAAATTCACAGGCTCATGAAGGCCTGGCTAAGACGTTTGCAACTCTTCACTGAGGCAAAAGAAGAGTCAGAGAAAAGTGGGGATCTGGGGCCCTGAGCAAGCACAGAGTGGCATTTCCGGCAAGTGAAAGCAATGGTCTGGGAGATGAGGCGGGAGGCGGAGACGGAGCGGAGAACGTGCTCAAGCATCCCAGGTAGCCGAAGAGCCTTGACTCAGGGTAGAGGTGTGAACGGAAAAGAAGGCAGAGTCGCAAGAGACGTGACAAAAGGCACGTCTGCAGGATCTGGCAGCTACGCTGGGCAAAGCGGGCCGAAGAGGGGGACCAGAGGGCCTTCTTCAGTTCGGAGGATTGCTAAGATGCTGACCGCCAGCCTCACCCCTCCCAGAATGGAAACAGTGAGAGGGAACGCCGATTTTAAAGGCACAGAAAAGCCTGCTTTGGGAACCATCGATTGTGACCTGCAGGCAAGACATTTAGGGGAAGCTGGCCTTCAGCAGTTTCACATTTGCCACCAAAGCTTCAAAGGCAGGTGGGGTCTGGCCACTGCCATGGGAATCACCACCCCAAAGCTGGTGAGAGGCACGAGGCAGGAAGCAGAAATGAGGTTGCGGAAGGGGACAAAATAAAGGGCGCACACGCCCAGCATCAGCAGCTCTGTGTCAGGCATGTCGAGTGGATCTGACTCAAGCTGTGACCGCTCATTCCTGCTCGCTTTGTGACGCTTCCTCATTGGATAGATGTGGGGCGTGGCTAGCACAGTCTAACCTGGCATTTCTACAGAAGCACCTAACCGTCTGAGTTCTCTGAATGGCCACTTGTCAATGACATCTGAAACCCAAAGCACCACAAACCTGGCAAGACGCTGGCAGCTGAGACAGTGACAATAGAATCCGAGAGGAGGACCGGGTCCGGGCGTCTTGTGTCCAGCTTCGTGGCACACACACCAGACTCCGGCGCCTCCCAACACCACACGCCGTAGGCTGCTTCAGAAGGGCAGAGCGGTAACCAGCAGACACCAGAGGTCTCTTTAAAATCAGAAAATAGGGCCGGGCGCGGTGGCTCAAGCCTGTAATCCCAGCACTTTGGGAGGCCGAGGTGGGTGGATCACGAGGTCAAGAGATCGAGACCATCCTGGTCAACATGGTGAAACCCCGTCTCTACCAAAAATACAAAAAATTAGCTGGGCATGGTGGCACGTGCCTGTAGTCCCAGCTACTCAGGAGGCTGAGGCAGGAGAATTGCTTGAACCCAGGAGGCGGAGGTTGCGGTGAGCCGAGATCGCGCCATTGCACTCCAGCCTGGGTAACAAGAGCAAAACTCCGTCTCAAAAAAAAAAAAAAAAAAAAAAATCAGAAAATAAAATGGCCTCTTCTACTCGCCCTCCCACACTTCGGACCCTGAAAACTTCCTCAGAACCCAGTTTTCCAAGCTTTTCCTTCTCAGCACTGTTTGACGATCTCAGCCTCCTCCCTGGCTTTGAGCGTCTGTAGCCCACACCTTTGTCTCTGTGACAACACGCTCCTCGGAGACCTCAGGACCAGGGCCTCGTCTGTCCATTGACCTTTCAGAAGCAGGATCTGGAATGCACACAAGCAACACACTGAAGTTGTATCACCTTGGCCAGAAAGGGCTCACTGTAACCCACTTAGAATGAACAGGATCCGTCACAGGTCCCACAGAAACAAATCATCTCGACTGCAGGGGGAGAGAGAAAGAATTCGAGCGTACGTACATGTGCACCCTGATTCCACGACTGACGAGGTGAAGCCTGCCATACACATGCAAAAACACTGAGCTCGCATGAAAGAGCCTCCAACAGACAGTGTACAGAAAAAAAACTAAACGGGAAAGAAAGACACAGATCAAGAGTTGCTGTCTCTGTGTGTTGGAACTATGCATGATTTTCTTATTTATCTTATTTTTATTTTTATTTTTTTTTTTGAGGCAGACCTCACTCTGTCACCCAGGCTGGAGTGCAATGGTGTGATCTCGGCTCACTGCAACCTCTGCCTCCCAGGTTCAAGCGATTATCCTGTCTCAGCCTCCCAAGTAGCTGGAACTACACGTGCCTGCCACCACGCCAGGCTAATATTTTATATTTTTAGTAAAGACAGGGTTTCATCATAATGGCCAGGCTGGTGTCGAACCCCTGACCTCGTGATCCTATTTATCTTCTTTCCTTCCTAATCATCAATTTATTTTATAATCTTAAAAACCCCTCATACTTAAAAGAGAACATCCCGTGTGCAATGAAGTCCATGAAAGGGACGTATCTGCAAACACCCTTTTCAGGGTTTTCCCTCATTTACCTGGCCTGCAGCCTGCTATTTCAGAAAGGACAGGAAGATATCCTTGGTGATGCTTGCCTGCTCTGACACATGCCCCATTCTATGGACATCTGTCCTCACACCACCTGTCCAGTGTATCCCAACCCTGCACTCCGCTGTTGGCAACATCGCAGCACGTGCTCCTCCTAGCTGACGACAGCCCTCCTCCCCATTCCAGTGTGAAAAGCCTGCCAAACCTGGAAGGAACACTGGCACACGGAGGCCTCTTGCCTGTTTCGTGCAGCGTTCAAGGCTTTGAAATACACCAGGGCTATGATGAAGCCGGTGCCCGATGACGTGAACTTAAATTTAAATTACCTCTTTAGATTTCCGATGCCAGTCTTTACTCTCTCCTGGGCCCGGGTCTTTTATCTCCTCCTCACTGAGGCCTACGCGGTTGGTGTAAGTGATGGTACGCCAGTCTCTGGGTGAGTTGGAGATGCTGGCAATTTTGGACTCCGTGGCACTGTTCTCCTCCGTTAGAGACCTAGAGGACGGCCTGGTGAAGAGGCTTTTTTTTAAGGCCTTGACCCGCAGGGTTTCGCTGTTGCTCCCACTAGCATCAGAACAGCACCAGTCAGGATTGTTCTCCAGTTTGGGTCCATGGGTGCTACTGTGTGTGCGGAACACCCGGGGAGAGGCACTGTCGTCAGACGGAGCCTCGCTCGTCAACGAGTTCAGGTCCATCTGCACATTCACCTTCTCAGGCTGTTGCATTTTCTGGTCTAATTTATTTAGTTTGCCCAAGACCTGGGAGATCTCCTCACGGACACCCGACAGGGATTCCAGCTTCCGTTCGATTTCGCCGATCCTGACCACCAGTTTGCACACGCTGGTCTTCAGCTCTTCTTCCGAGTGGTGGGTGTTCTCAGGCCGGCTGCCTTTGTCTCCCTTGCTGTTGGGGACCCCATTGGCAATTTTGGTTAAGTTGTGCTCGGGGGAGCTGTCGCAGTCGGACTTATGGAGCTGAGACAAGGACCCTGTGCTGTCGTAGCAGGATGACTGTATCACTCCCGTGGAGCCACTGATGCTCATGTCGTCAAGAAATCGGAAAATGTCACTGATGTCGTCACTGACAACTTCCGAGTCATCGTCTGAGTGCTTCATGGCGTGCCTGTCACCATACTTGCCCTGACCGGAGGTGCACGGGTCTTTGCACTTCTTGGGCTCCAGCACGTGCTCGGTCTGGGTGCCCACGCTGCTGGTGTCTGAGCTGAGCTGCCTGCTGGTGCAGTTAATGCTCTTGTCTTTAAACTTTTTGATGGGTTCATGCTTCTCCAGGTCTACAGGGGAGGAGATCTCTTTAGATTTGAGCCCGTTTGGTTTTGCTGCATAAGCAATGGGGAGAATTGACTGCGGATCGTTTGGCACGAGGTAAGTCGGGCACCTGTCTGGGGCTGGGAAATTGGGAGTCTGGCTACTGGCATTTGGATAGCGTAGCTTCTCCTCGGAGGGATTTCTATTGAAAAAGGACCGTTCAAAGTCAGGAACTTCCTCCGTGTTCAGGCTCCAGCTTTTGGCTGGCCATGGAGTCTGCTTGCTGGGCCTCCCTGGACAGCGCCTGGCTTCCTGGGTCCCCATCACGGGAGTGGGCCCGAAGTATGTAGAGGCTTGAAGGTCATCTAAGCTTTCGTGCTTTGCTCGCCTTTTGTCAGGAACAGGGGAATACACCGGGTTCAGGTACTGGCTGTTATAGGGCATTTCAAAGCTGTGGTTAAAGAAGGGTGGCTTGTGGGGTTCCTTTCGACTCTGGGATTCCCCGTGCTCATTCTCTGCTTTGCTGATGGGGCCAACCATACTGGGGGACACTGCCATCAAATTGTGAAAATCCTCTTTAAAGATGTTCCTTTTCTGGACACAGGACTGGACCACAAATGGCTCCTCATTGGAAATGAAGGTCTCCTTGATGCTCTGGTTGATGGGCAGGGAATCCTGGTCTGAAATGGACTCGTTTTCAATGTTCATGGGGAAATACGTCCTCTGCATCTCACAGGGCTGAGGGCTGGTCACAGAGTAAGGGGCCAGCGCCTGCAGCCTGTCCAGGGAAGCAGCTCGGTGTTTCACCTCTTTGCTAACCCCCAAGAGGAAGTTAGGCTCAGAGGCAGGGATGAACTGCAGGCAGTCCTTGCAGTCTAGCTTCCGGCACTTGGACGACTGCCTGGTGGGGTGGCCCCGGCTGAAAGACCTCTCACTCAGCTGGCAGTTCAGGGGCTCACACTCGGCTGAATTGCAGACGTCTGCGTCCGTCCTGCGCGAGTCAAAGGACGCCTCCTTCTTGCGCGCCTTCTGGTGGCCCGTAGGCAGCTTCTCCTTGGCGGCCCCGCCATTCATTTGGATCAGGTTGAATATCGTCACTATATCTGCGGCCACCATGATTTTCTTCGATTGCTGGTTATTCACAGTGCATTTCATCTTGTCTTTGAAGAGCGTGGCTGGAAAATTGGGATCGAGACAGGCCGTGTAGAAGAGCACGCTTCTCAGTTTGGCAAGCTGCGACAGATCGAACCGCGCACACAGAGATTTGCACAGGTCCTGATAAGAAACGGTATTTTGCTTGCTGTCCAGTTCCTCCAAGATCTTCACCAAGAAGAGGGAAGTTTCCTGACTGGTCTCCATGATTTATAACTTGAAAAGCTTGCGGAGTACACTGAAACTTCAGGTCGGGTCTATGGTGACAATATTGAGAGAAAGAGGAGGAAAAAGGATTATAAACACCCGTGGAGTTTGAAGCCAGGCTTCTTACAAACCATATAAAGAAATACAAAGGAAAACATTGTAATGATTAAAAATGCATTAAGGGCAGTAAAAATATTCATAACATTCAACTTAGTAAATCCCTTCCCAGGAGTCTACCTTAATGATCGATGATAACCATTATGCTTAACGATGTTCACTATGATGACACTTATAAAAATGAGAAAGCAAAACATCTTCAATATCCAAAGAGCAGAATACATAAACATGCTATGATATACCATGCACTTTACAAACATTAAAATTACGTTAACCTACGTTCTTACAAGGCAATACTACTCAGCAAAAAAAAGAACGAACTACCAGTACATACAAGGACACGGATGAATCCCAAATGCGTTGTGCATGGATGGAAGAGGCCAGTGGGAAGGCTACAGACTCGACTGCGTGATTCCAACTGAATGGCATTCTGGAAGGCAGATCAGTGGTTGCCAAGAGCTGGATATGAGGAGGGAGGTTGACTCAAAGGGGCACAGAGAAGGTTTCCGAAATGACATAATTGTTCTACATCCTGGTTTTGGCGGTGGTCACATGACTGCATGCATTTGGCGAAACTCACAGGACTCTAAACCAGGAAGCGTTAAGTTTTCCCTCACAAAAGTAACACCTCCATTTAGAAATGAAATCACGAAAACTTTTCATAACAAAACTGTGAGATAATATTGAGTGAAAAATATGACAATCAATCTGTATGAGATTATAATGATATAAAATTATGCATTCTTGGAAACAAAAATGAAAGAAAATGATGTGCATGAAGATGTCGGTAGTGTTTAAGTTTGGACTGCGAGTGTGGATGTTTTTATGAACTGGTCAACTCGCTTCCCTAATACCTTATTATTTAAGTTTTCAAATATACAGCAAAGTGAAAAGAATTTTACAGTGAACACGAATACACCTACCATCTGGATTCTCCATTAATATTTTACTTTATTTGTTTTATTCCATATCTATCCATGTATTCATCAAGCTTTCTTATTTTTTATTTATTGCATTTTAGGTTTGGGGGTACATGTGAAGAACATGCAAGATTGTTGCGTAGGTACACACGTGGCAGTGTGATTTGCTGCCTTCCTCCCCTTCAACTATATCTGGCATTTCTCCTCGTGCCATACCCCCCAACTCCCCACCCCGCACTGTCCCTCCCCTATTTCCCCCCAACAGACACCAGTGTGTGATGCTCCCCTCCCTGTGTCCATGTGTTCTCATTGTTCAACACCTGCCTATGAGTGAGAACATGCAGTGTTTGATTTTCTGCTCCTGTGTCAGTTTGCTGAGAATGATGGTTTCCAGGTTCATCCATGTCCCTACAAAGGACACGAACTCATCGTTTTTGATGGCTGCACAATATTCTATGGTGTACATGTGCCACATTTTCCCTGTCCAGTCTCTCATCGATGGGCATTTGGATTGGTTCCATGTCTTTGCTATTGTAAACAGTGCTGCAATGAACATTCGTGTGCGTGTGTCCTTATAATAGAACAATTTATAATCCTTTGGATATATACCCAGTGATGGGATTGCTGGGTCAAATGGGATGTCTATTTCTAGATCCTTGAGGAATCACCACACTATCTTACACAATGGTTGAACTAATTTACATTCCCACCAGGAGTGTAAAAGTGTTCCTATTTCTCCACATCCTCTCCAGCATCTGTTGTTGGCAGATTTTTTAGTGATCGCCGTTCGAACTGGCGTGAGATGGTATCTCAATGTAGTTTTGATTTGCATTTCTCTAATGACCAGTGATGATGAGCATTTTTTCATATGTTTGTTGGCCTCATGTGTGTCTTCTTTTGTAAAGTGTCTGTTCATATCCTTCACCCACTTTTGATATTAGAGAGGAATATAAGCTTTATTTTTTTTATTCACTTCAGAGTAAATTGCAGACATCTGTACACTTCTTCCAAATAATTTATCACACAGTATCATTAACCCAAGTTCAAGAACTGTTCAGACTTTCTTTTCATATAAAATGTATGTACAATGTAGTGCACAAATCTTAAGGGTGCATTGGCTGAGGTTTCAACAATTATGTATGCCTGTATAGTAACCAAAACCCCTGTAAAGAACTAGCATGTTTCCTTTGCCCCAGAAAGTTCCCTCTTGCCCTTTCCTGTTCAACCACTGTTATTTTTATAGGTTTTTTTCTGTATCATTTCCTATCTTTTCTAAAATTCTTACAATGAGCATTTGTTATTTTGTAAGCACCAAACAATTATAAACTTTATTTTGAAATCTAATGAAAACACGACATTGACAGATCTTGGATGGTAAAATGAAACCAAACATTTAGCAAAAGTTCGTAAGAGAAGGTGAAGCCCTTCATTGATAAACACAGATGCAGGTTCTAGAACTTACAAAGACGCATCAAATTGCACAATGTATTCATTTCCCTGGCACACACTGCTTAGAAAAGGTATTTTGATAATTGATTTATTGATTTCAAAGTTAATGCAGTCCACATGTATCTAACCCATTTTCTAGGGAAATAGTATATTTTCTTTGGATTAAATTTTAGCAGCTCGAGGTAATGAGCTTTCTCTCCATCCTGAAGGCAGCCACTCCCAATGGGCTTCTATAAACATTAGCCTGGTTTCTCCATCAATGTCTGCAGGGATATGCAGAGACCAGTGGTTTGCATTTTCTTGCATGGAAAAGAAAACAACTTTTGACAGGTCTGCTCCTGCCCAGAACAAGTCACCGCGAAACCCATTTCTTCCCATCCCGCCCCAGGCTTCCAGTCCATCTGACGAAAGCATTCTGTGTCCAGATGTTACGGCTTGTTAAAGGTGGGGACAACCTGTCATACTGGGTCTCAGGTAAATCAATGGGTGTAGAGATCAGAGCCCAGGACCAGTGAATGTAATTTTGGGAACAGCAACTACAACCCATGCATATATTTTACAGTTTGGGTGACACAAAGCACTTTCAGGACTTCTAGGCTGATCCTGTGTGTATCCTACCTTGCACCTCCCAGGAAAACCCAACACTTCGCTTCTCTGGGAAGATTTCTCAACGTTTCTATCCTACTTTGCATGGCAAAGGAAGTCTTAATCGCAGATCAAAAAACCTATTTGGTACAAAAATTTAGCTGGGCCTGGTGGCACGTGCCTGTAATCCCAGCTACTCAGGAGGCTGAGGCGGGAGAATTGCCTGAACCCAGGAGGCGGAGGTTGCGATGAGCCGAGATCGCACCATTGCACTCCAGCCTGGGTAACAGGAGCGAAACTCCGTCTCAAAAAAAACCAAAAACCAAAAAACAAAACAAAACAAAAATCTATTTGGAAAAGCAAGGCCCAGGGTCTCCTGATGTGAATAAAAGAAGTACAAACAAATATGGTAAGCCTGAGTTATATTTTATCAAAACGGAGATTAGGAGGTCTGTGGCTGGAAACAGGCGCATGGACACACGTGCAGCAGAGGTGCCCGTGATGATCAGTTATCACAGAGAAACTGCACACAGATTTCCTACAACGTGCAGATGAGAACCAGAGAGGAAGAACAGCAAAGGCAGAGATGGAGTGAAAAATCAGATTCCAGGCTCTACAGCCGTGGCACAGGATCCAGCCTCCAGCATGAAGCCCTCGGCAGTCTATTTGACCACACAAACAACCGTGCAGGGCAGGAAAAACACTCCACGTTACAGATAAAGAAACGGAGGAACTCAGAGAGGAAGTAACTGTGTAATCCAGAGAGGGAACACGAGTTGCCAGGGTTCGATATCGGGTTAGGGGCCCACGCGGACTCCAACCCAGGTCTTCTGATGCTGCTGAAGGACCACTAGGCTCAACTGTGCGCCAGGAGGAGGACAGGCACCCACCGCCTGCTGACAGAGGTGGATAAGGGGTGGGGAGCCGCTGTGGACTGACCACCTGCTATGTGCTGAGGCCTCACGTGGTTTTAAGCAACAGCTCAGAGGAGCCACAGACACTCCTCAGTTATTCAGGAGAAATGAGGAAAAGGCAGCTAGAGAAACTACACCGAGAGCCCGACGCATCTTAGACTGAACCCAGATTTGGACAAAGAGCAAGGCAGAAATATCCGCCTGGAATCTGGGGGCTGAGCCAAACCGCCTTGGGACACATAGGCATGCGTACCCCCCCACACACAGCTCCACACTCACACAGACTCACCCAGACACGCTCACACACACACAGCTCCATGCTTACACAGCTCCACACTCACACGGACTCACCGAGACACGCTCACACACACACACTCACCCAGACTCACACACACACACACTCACACACTCACCCAGACTCACACCCACACGCTCACACACACACAGCTTCACACTCATAGATTCACCCAGACACACAACACACACAGCTTCACACTCACCCAGACACATGCTCACACACACATTCACACAGCTTCACACTCTGACTCACCCAGACACACACCCACACAGCTTTGCACTCACAAACTCACCCAGCCACACACACACACAGACTCACCCAACACACTCATTCACACAGCTTCACAGACTCATCCAGACACCCACACCCACATATACTCAGCTTGACACATACAGACTCACCCACACACTCACATGCAGACACATTCACACAGCTTCACACTCAGACTCACCTAGACACATACCCCCATACACACAGTTTCACACAGACTCCCCAGACACACCCACCCACACACAGACTCACCCACTCACAGCCAAACAGCTTCACACTCACACGCATAGCTTCACACCCACACAGATTCACTACACACACAGACTCACTCAAAACCACACTCACAGCTTAACACAGACTCACCCAGAAACACACTTACACAGCTTCACACTCGCACAGCTTCAGACTCACACATACATATACCCAGACACACACAGCTTCATACACAGACTCACACTACACCCAGCATACTTGCACAGCTTCACACTCACATAGACCT